ACAGCCCAGAATACAACGGTGTAGCTGAGAGAGCACTGGGACTGATCAAGGATGCAGCACTAGCCGCCCGCATACAAGCGCCGATTCTTTACCCCGAAGCGCCGAGCTACCCCTCCCTTTGGGCCGAAGCTACAGCTTGGGCATGCAACGCCCTTAACTGCACCTCCACTCATCCAACCCGGACAAGAAATCGCCGTACGAAATGTGGCACGGGCACCAACCTCCCCCAGAGGCGACGTACCCGTTCCTCAAACCCGCCGTATACAAGGTCAAGCGCACGCACAAGTCAGAGCCGAAAGCAAAAAAGTGTTTTTACCTCGGCCCTGGAATCAACACAAATCGTAATTGCGTGCGCATCCTGAACGAAGAAGGCCAAGCGATCACAACTCGCAACTTCACCTGGCAATCTGTGCCCGCCGCCCCGACCGCGCACCCCCAGCCGCTGCCTCCCATTGCAGAGGAGGACGAGGAGCTCACGACTGGGGAGCACGAGGGCGGGGAGGGTGCGTCATGCCACGGTGGAGGGAGGGCGGAGGGAGAACCTGAGGATGGAGGTTTCCACCTTGACACGACGGCAAACCCGGGGCCCGCGGAGCCGCCCGCGCGTGATGCGCCGGCGGCGCCGCCGGCCGCGCCCCAGGAGTCGGGCGCGGGCGACGCTGGCGATGGCGCCCCCTCGAGCAGGGAGGGCGTGAGCGTCGCCCCATCTACCACGTCGACCGGGATGGCCGATGTGGGCGGCGGCGAGGACGACCGTCGCAGCAGCAGCAGCCGCGGTGGCGGCAGCAGCAGCAGCAGCAGCAGCAGCAGCAGCAGCAGCAGCAACAGCAGCGGTAGCGGCAGTGACAGCGGCAGCGACACGGACATCCCGGCCCTCCGCGGGCCCGAGGGACGGAAGCTCGCCCGCTTTGGCGAGCCGGCGGAGCTCACCAGCCGCCGACTCAGGGAGAACCCTCGCCGGAACATGAGGTACGAGTCGTCGCCGTCGCCAACGAGTGCCGAAGGCCTGCTCGCCCGCCATGCGTCGGAGGCGGGGCTGCCCATCCTGCCCATCAACAGCACGGACGAGCACACCCGCTGGATGCTCGCGTGTGTGGTCGACATGGTGGAAGAGCTAGAGGCGAGGGCAGTGCAAGCGCTGCTGTGTGAGCGCGCGGAGGAGGCCAACATCGCGCGCCAAGGGGCAGAGGACTTCCTGCTGGGAGTGGAGGACCTCGTGCTCAACTCTCCAGACGCCTTCGTAAAATTGAGAAGTTCAAAGCGCGTCTGGTCGCTAGGGGGTTTTCGCAAATCCCGAACGTGGACTACTTCCACTCATCCTCCCCTTGCCCATCATCCGCATCCATTAAACTGATGCTTGCGGTAGCCAACGAGAAATAGATGAAACTCAACCACTGGGATGTCAAGCAGGCGTTTACACACGCTAAGTTNGCAACAGCAGCAGCACCGGTAGCGGCAGTGACAGCGGCAGCGACAGCGACCGTGACAGCGGCAGCGACAGCGACAGCGGCAGCGACACGGACATCCCGGCCCTCCGCGGGCCCGAGGGACGGAAGCTCGCCCGCTTTGGCGAGCCGGCGGAGCTCACCAGCCGCCGACTCAGGGAGAACCCTCGCCGGAACATGAGGTACGAGTCGTCGCCGTCGCCAACGAGTGCCGAAGGCCTGCTCGCCCGCCATGCGTCGGAGGCGGGGCTGCCCATCCTGCCCATCAACAGCACGACGGAGCACACCCACTGGATGATCGCGTGTGTGGTCGACGTGGTGGAAGAGCTAGAGGCGAGGGCGGTGCAAGCGCTGCTGTGCGAGCGCGCGGAGGAGGCCAACATCGCGCGCCAAGAGGCAGAGGACTTCCTGCTGGGAGCGGAGGACCTCGTGCTCAACTCTCCAGACGCCTTCGCGAGGGCCCTGGCGTCGACCGAGCTGAGTACAGAATCCCCCATAGGCAAGCGTCCGAGTGACGTCGAATCCCCCCCCATGACCGTAGCCGGCGTTAACAAGTCTGTGTACAGAGAGGGATGGGAACAGGCCATGAGGGAAGAGTTTGATGGGCACTTGGGCACGGGAACGTTTTCATTCGTAGACGGTACGCCAGAGGGGCGTAGACCCGTGAGCTCGAAGTGGCGCTTCACTTGGAAGACAAACAAGGACGGAAAAATTGTGAAGTTCAAAGCGCGTCTGGTCGCTAGGGGGTTTTCGCAAACCCCGAACGTGGACTACTTCCACTCATCCTCCCCTTGCCCATCATCCGCATCCATTAAACTGATGCTTGCGGTAGCCAACGAGAAATCGCTGAAACTCAACCACTGGGATGTCAAGCAGGCGTTTACACACGCTAAGTTGGACGAGGATGTGTTTCTGAGGCTCCCCGCTGGGTGCGGGGAAAAATCCCACACGGTTGCAAAGGCTGAGCGTGCCATTTACGGCTTGAAGCAGAGCGACAGGCAGTGGCGGTACCACGCTGCCGATACGCTTGTAGAAAACGGGAGTCGAGCAGTTCAAGGCTGACCCGTGCGTCTTCCGCAAGATGAAAGACGATGTCGTGGTGATGATTATCGTGATTTATGTGGATGACATTTTGGTGGCTGGGTCTGATGATGATTGCAAGGAGTTGCTTGCTTCCCTCAACAAGGCATTCCCCACCAAAGACCTTGGAGAGTGCGTGTGGTTCGACGGGTGTGCCGTCGAGAGAGACCTAGAGGCTGGGACCCTTAGAATCTCTCAAACCGCGTACATTGACTGCATCGTGAATCGCTTTGATGTGCAGTCGACCTCCTCCATCCCTGCTTCCCCTGGTG